ACAATGAAACCATCATCACCAAACTTCTCTCCTGGCCTGTGTGTGGACAGGGAGGGCAGGGGAGTAGCTGTGTTTGTCTTGGCTGGGTAACATCATTTTTCTTCACTGAAGAAATATATGCCAGAGGTCCTAAAAGTAGAAGGTAGCTCTCACCCAAGAGAGCTTTATTCCCAGAGGCCCAGCCCCACAGTAATACAAAGCAGCTATATCTCCTACCTACACATCACTGGGCCCTGTTTTAAGACTCAGTTCAAATGCCCCCTCCTCCATGAAGCCCTCCCCAACTTCCCAGGCTCCTGTTGGTGCCCTGGGATTAATGCCTCCATTTGAGCATGCTGTATTCAAAGTACTAGTGAATGCATTCCCGGAATTGCCCAGCCCACCAGGCCAAGGACCTTGCCCTATTTGCTTTTGTATCTCTCATCTTAGCAGCGCTGACAAAGTAGGTGCCAATATTGAGTGAATTACCCAGAGCTGTTGCATTCTGAATTCAGGAGTGGCAGAAATAAATCTCTAGAAGGGTGGGAAACCCCCCTTTGCACAAGAATGTAGAGAAGATAGGGGTTACATGCAGTTCATCGTAGAAGGGAGGGTCTCGTAGAAGTGCTGTACCCCCTGGGGTAAGGAAGTGGGGACTGCAGGGAGAGACCCCCCCTCAGTCTGAGGAATTCCAGCTACTATGACTTCCCTCCTCTGTGCATGGACAAGGACTCTCCCTTATTCTGATCCAGTGGTTCTCAAAGTGTGGCCCCTAGGCCAGCAGCATCAGCATCACTGAAGACCTTGCTAGAAATTCAAGTTTTTGGACCCCACCTCAGACCGCCTGGATCAGAAACTCTGGGGGCTAGGCCCAGCCATCTGTGTTTTAACCAGCCCTCCATATCACTCTGATGCATGCTTAAGTTTGAAAACTGCTATTCTAAGTACACTGAAAAAGAAGTTCACGCATGGGAAAAAGAACTTAGAAATACAATCCAGATTGATTTAAAATTAAGATTAAATGAGAACCCGAGCCAATGCCCCTTGCTATGAAATGCCCAGGATCAATGAAACACCCCACTATTCTCTATGAAACAGCTCAACAGGCAATTAGATGAACTCAGCACATTTTATTTTAAATGTGCAAAATGAATTTTCATATCCTAAGAGTAACACCAGATGTTTTACTTCTTTTTCCTAATTGATTTTCCAGCCTACAGCAATTCGTCTTTATATTTTCCAGTTGGATCCCAATGCAGCAAGAAGAGTGTGTTCCGGCAGGATTATTAAATGCCATGCATTTTAAAACAAGCATAACTCAGGCCGCCATGCGTCATCTGGGTGGTTGTCTCCCCAAAATATTAAAAAAAAAAAACAAAAAACGCAGACAGCTCTAGGTACCAGGCAGATTCTGAGCAGGCAGGAAACCCAGAAAAGGCCCTTTCAAAGGGCTGGGTCTCCAGGCTCTTGGCTGGTTACAAAGCTGAGTCCTGGGCAGTGAGCCCAAGCCTGAGCTCTTCTCCACAGAGTCCTGCACTCCCTGGTACAGAAGGATTTGCTTGCTGTAAAACCTGCAAATCAACATTTTGTTTTTCTATGGGAAGTTTTGTCTTTAAAAGGGAGAAGAAAAAGTAGGCTCTGGGGATGGAGGTTGAGTGGGGCCGAGGGGTCAAGGAAGGGGGGGAAGCAGTGGCTCAGAGAAGAAGCCAGTTTGGGTGGACCCTCTCCCATTCTGCACTTGAGAGAAGCCCAGACGATTCCCCTCTGTGGGCTGATGGGCCTGGAGGCGCGGGAGGCCCTGCTCTGGTCAGGCTGAAGTGGGGGAAAAGTCACCAGCAACCAGGTTTGCCTCACACAACAAAAGCCCTTGGGAGTCTGGGGAAAGACAGGGAACTGAAGTCTCAGGCTTTGAAGGGAATGACTTCAAAAGGAAACTTCTCCGTCTCTGCTCTCTGCCCCTGAGTGCCAGAAAGCCAGAAAGTGCTGATTCCAAAAACAAAACCCACACATCTCAGGTCGTTGGGAGAGGGGGGCACTATTAGCCACTTTCCCTAGCAGCTGCAGAGAGCAGGCAGGTTTGAGTCCCAACGCCTGGAACAGGATTTTAATGTGGTCTCCAAGTAAAACTCTGCCCTGCCCCCTGTCCCCACCGGTTCTGAGACCCACTGCAGCTGACTGAGTGTCTGAAATTGGAGCTCATCCTGATTAAATCTCAAAATGTGGCTGTCCCAACTTTAAATAACAGCCACCCCAAACATCCAGTGTTCTGTCCATTACGTGGCCAGTCTCTGAACTTAGAATACTGCATTCTAGCTTCCTAAGAGACACACACCCAGATGAAAGTTCAATGATCGAAGGATCGGGTCAGGATTTGGGCTCTCCCCCGCTTCTACCCCCAGAGCTCTGGCCACAAAAGTTAACAATCTACAATCTTACAGGGTGCTGTGGAACCCTTTGAGGATGTGAAGGGAATCCGTAACCAGCCTCCTAGACAGAGAGCTCAGCCCCACACCTGTGATTAACCAAAAAAAAAAAAAAAAAAGTTACCTAAATTTAAAATGCACAGATGACAACTTTTCAAGTTTCAAGGGGTAGGAAGCAAAGGCCCCACAGACTTAGACACAGTGTTTTTAAAGACATACAGACAATACACATCAGGTCCAAGGTTTGGGAACTGGGTGCCTGGGTATCCGAATCATCTTCCTCTGGGATGGGGACAGGAGTAACTGGTCTCCCATGGCGACCCAAACCCCACACATCCCCCCAGGGATTTCAGCCTCATCTACCACAAACACTATCAGGGAAATGGAGTGGTGGCAAGAAAGTATCTTGCCTAGCAGAAGTCTCCCTGTGCCCCAAATTCAAGAGGATAAATTTTTACACACTATTAAATCACAGGAGCCATTTTATAAATGTCATCATAGTCTTTTAATATTTTACATAAAAAACTGTATACACAGCTTATAGAACTTTTATGTAAACATCATAAGCTCACCACTTTGTCATTTGTCAGTTTATTTAAAAAATAAAAAAACAAGACAACAATTTAGTAGAAGTACCACTGGGTGGGGAAGGGAGGGTGAGAAAGGAGAGACTAGGGGCAGGTTCATTCTCTGTACAGAGATGCAGAGAAAATTTCACATAGCTTTCGAGACTGCCTTGTGAAGAAAAAAAAAAAAAGGAGGGGGGAGTTAAATAGGTCCCAATACTTGTTACTGCCCTTTATCAAAATAGTGCGCATACCTGCACAAATAAAATCGCAAAACAGTGTTGCCATTTTCAAGAAAACAAAACAAAAATTAGTGGTTTCTTTTTCTTGTTTTTTAAAAGTCATCATCATCTTTTAAAAAAAAAAAAACATCAGAAGTAGATGAGGTTACAGCGTACAAGGGTGGTCAGAATGCTGTCTTATGCAAATGACCAGAGCATTAAGTGTCAAACAACAAAACAATTGTGCAAAGAATTCTTTCAAAAAAAAAAACAAGTTTTAGCTTTTAAATAAATCAAATAACATCAGTTTCTTGGACCGAACAATTTCCACTTGTATGACAGGCACAAAGTTCGCTTATGGCAAAAAACGACCCAAAGCACTCTCTCCGTCCTCCTGCCCGGGGCCCGGTGAGGGGTTCGCCTGGGGCTGGCCCGCAGGATCCGACAGAGTCTGGAAGCTGTGTCCTCTCAGCCCCACGGCAGTTGCAAATGTCTTCCCCAGGGGTTGGCAAGCTGGCCAAGTCCTGTTCATGCTTGGATGGGCGCCCGACCCAGGCTGGGCCGGGGCTCTTCCGGCGCCCTGTCACTCCACCCACCACCACCATTAAATACACCATCCCACCTCCGAAAATAAAATTATATCTATATTTATATAACACCCCATCCTCCCCAGCCCTCCCCTCCCGCAGTTCCCGCGGTCTATGGTACAGACAAGGGATAGCAGGCGCTCGCTGCGTTCTGGGCGAACATCTGATGGGGCGCGGCTGCACCCCGGCGCCAAGCTCTTCTCCGGGGACCGGAGGCGGGGGCGGGTGAAAGTGGGGCGGGGGAATGGAACAAACACACAGCCACACACTCTGAAGAGGCTTGGCTCCTCAGAAAAGGGTGCTCGAGGGACCCTTGGCACTCAGGAGGCGCCCGGGCCTCTCCAACACAGCCGGACGCACACAGACACTGGAAAGGGGGCGCCCCGTGCCTCCCACGCCGATTCCCGGCGCCAGAGCCAGAGCCAGAGCCGCCGGGTCACAGGTGCCGGGCCGGTGGGGTCCTTGGGGGGCGCGGGTCTCCCCTTCTTCGGGCTCGAGGTGCGGGGTGGGGGGTCGGGCCCGAGAGGGGGAGCCGCGCCGGCAGGGGCAGGCAGGGCGGGCGCGGCCCTCATAGCACCTTGCAGCAGTTGATGCAGCCGTTCTGGGAGCCGTAGCGCTTCTGCAGCGCGGCGCGCGTGGCCGTCTCGAAGACCTCGCGCACGCCCTCCTTGGTCTTGGCCGAGCACTCGAGGTAGTCGTAGGCTTGGATGCGCACGGCCATGGCGCGGCCGTCATCCGTGCGCACGGGTTCCTGCTTCATGCGGGCCAGCTCCGTGCGGACGTGCTCGTCGCTGCGCAGGTCTTTCTTGTTGGCCACCAGGATGATGGGCACGTTGGGGCAGAAGTGCTTCACCTCGGGCACCCACTTCTCGGGGATGTTCTCCAGCGAATCGGGGCTGTCCACTGAGAAGCACATGAGGATCACGTCGGTGTCTGGGTAGGAGAGCGGCCGCAGGCGGTCGTAGTCCTCCTGGCCCGCCGTGTCCCACAGCGCCAGCTCCACCTGCTTGCCGTCCACCTCGATGTCGGCCACATAGTTCTCGAAGACGGTGGGCACGTACACCTCGGGGAACTCGTCCTTACTGAACACGATCAGCAGGCACGTCTTGCCGCACGCGCCGTCGCCCACCACCACCAGCTTCTTGCGGATGGCCGCCATGAGCGGGCCGGGCCCGGGCAGCAGGAGGGGGCCCGCGAACGCCTCGCTGCCGTCCCGCTCGCCGCTCACTGCTCACCTCGGGCTGCGCGCTCGGGGGCGAGGGTCGCTAGCTGCACCCGGGCCCCGCGGTGGCGCGTTCTCTCGGTGCGCTCCGGCTGCCGCGGCGGGGGCGCGGGGGCATAGGGCGCGCCGGGCGTCTCCGCGCTGCTCCCGGGCGGTGGCCGCTCTTCTCGCCCCGAGCCCGGGGTCCGCGCCTTTGTGCGCAAACGGTGCCTGCAACAGCAGAGCCGGCCTAGTTCCCTCCCCGGTTTCTATAGATCTCGCCCAGGGTACAGGAGAGCCCTCGACTACATAGACTGCGGTGGCAGATGCGGGCTGCGGCCCTAGCGCCCGCTATTTAAAGAGTTTGGCCACTTTCTTAATATAGCCGCCCAATGGGAAGCGAGCCGACTGAGCTCATCGCTGCGGAGCTTGGCTCTCATTGGCCACCCGCTGCAGCCCAGGGGCGGGGCCGGCCGAGCGTGATTGACGGCCCAGGCCGCGGGGTTGGGAGAGGCGGGCGACTGGGGAGTCTGCGCTTCCGCTGGCGCTGCGGAGCCCTGGCCGCCCCAGTGTTACCCCCCCGCTTTGGCCGCGTCTTCTGCGCGCCGGGCCAAAGCCCGGAGCTGGGGGCCTGGAGCCTGCGGGGCCCGGGCGAGCGGTTCCGAGAGAAGGCAGCACTTTGTGGGGCGTTGGCGACTCCCTCCCACTCAAAATTGTCCCGCTTCCGTGCAAACTCCCAGCGGTGGCCGGACCTGTGGGGGAGGGAGCGGCTCCTTTAAGCGGTTTTGTTTTTAAATAAACACACACACGTTTGTTTCCAAGGAAGGTGTTTTTCTTTCCTTTCAGAAGAGGCCCGTTCTGTCGTCTAGTCCGCCACTCCCAACTCCCCCACCCGGGGACTCTTCGTGGGACAGCACTAGGTTTGGACCCGTGAGGCCAAGAGCTGACTGTGAGCTGGGTGGGCCTGGGCCTAGCCTCCAGCTCTTCCAAGTCCTATCGCCACCCCTCCTCCTCCCCACCCTCCACACCAACCACCATCCCCACCGCCCCCCCCCCATCTCTAGGTGAAGATTAGGGGAAGGAGGGACCGTGAAAAAGGAAGGTTGGGGCTGGTTGCAGGACTTCATGTCCACTTGGAGGGAGTTACAAGGCAGAAAAACGCAGCTTTGGCCCTGGTTGGCATGATTAATTCGGATCCTGGTAGTCAGGCTGCTAACTGTCTGAAGTAAATAGTACAATAAAATCCAACAACCTCCCACCCCATTGGGCAAGAAGAGGATGAGGCCTGAGGCAGGGGACAGAGAGGGGCGGACAGGGAGCTTGCAAGCGAGGACACAGCAAATTAGTGTCTGGTGGGGTGCTAGATCTTTTCCTACACACCAGGACTTGATTCATCTATCCCAGAGTGGGATCTAGAAGGACCTCAGGCAAAGGATTTCACAGGACAAAACAGGGAAGCGGGGGACAGAGGGAGGGCTTGGCTCTAAGAAGGAAGAGTTTGAAAAAACAGAGAGGTGGGGAAGAATAAGACAAACTCTAAAAACAGGGACTAGCTTAGGGTGACTGGCATGCTGCTGGTGACTCTTGATGGAGAGAGAGAGTTGAAACTCAGGTTGAGGCCAATCATGGAGGGCTAAAGTACCAACTACCCAGTTTGGGCCATATCCATCATAGAGGCAGCGGGGTGCCTACTGGTTTTTTAGCAAAGGAGAGACTCACACATCATGATGAGGTTATGGCCTCATATTTCTGCCTCCCTTTCTAAGACTGGAAGCTGGTGGAGAGCCAGGATTCTGTCTTACCTCAACATCGTGAAGCACAATGCCTGACCCTATGAAAGAACCGGTAAATGACTGTGGAGAATTCGCCTAAATGCTCAGGAACTCAGAACTTTCTGGGGTCTTCTACCTCAGATTCCAGGCTCTGTGTTGACAGCCATCCAACCAAGCATCAAGCTGTAACTAAGCTGTGGTCTTTTCACGTATGATTCGTATGTTTAGGTCTGGGTCTCTACGTGAACACCACAGATATAACAAGTCAAATAAGACAGTAGTGCCCTAATCCCTAAACCCTGTCCTATAGGGAACATACTGAAACACCCAAACGGGCTCCCCTCACACTGGATAAGCTCCACTGTTTTTGTTTTTCAGATCTAAGGAACAAGTAAATAATTTTTCCACAGTGGGATCCCACGGGAGAATAGAAGGGTTTTTTTGATCATTGGTTTAGGGTTCCCACCTGGAAACTTTTCTTTTTTTCTCTTTTCTTTTATTTTTCTTCTTCTTCTTCTTCTTCTTCTTCTTCTTCTTTTTTGTTAGCCTATTAGAAAAATTTTATCTAAATTTTTCTTGTTTTAGTCAAAACCTTTTATAGCTGTGTTGTTAAAAACACGGCTTTCCTTTATCTTAATATAGCTTGAGAATCTTGGCTGTGTCCTTAAGCTTCGAATATTAAGAAAAAATATCAAACAAAACTTTGTACCATGTATTTTTTGAAAAACTGAAATACAAAGAATCAGGAAGAGGGATTCAATTCACTCATTTCCTGGCTCTCAGACATAAGATATGAGTGTTCCAAGCCTGAACTTCAATATCGCAATAATTTCTAAAAATACTCGGTTGGTAAATATGCCAAAGTAAACAAAGAGAAAAATCCGTGTTCTGCAGCAAGTTCTCTTCATGCTGTTCATTTTTATGTCCGGGATACGTTGACAAACTCTGTGGAAACGGACTACTTCGAAGACTGCACCGCTCACAAGATAAACTTTTCCAAACTAGGTGATGTGCCAGACAGGCTCCTCCCTGCGCCCTCTCTCCCTGCACAGGGTACTCCCGTTGAGGGGCAAGGGCAGGGATTGGTCCATGAGAAGAAATCATGTTACAAATTAACTTTGTTAACATATAGACTCACTGTGTGACAGACGCCTACACCAGTGAGAGAGGGAAATGATCCCTCAGACAAAAGAGAGATGTTAATCTATCTCCAATCTTCAGTTTCATTTATTTGGGGTATTGTTTTGTTTTGTTTTGTTTTGTCCAGTGTTTCCTACAGATCCTGTAAATCACCCCCCAATTGCTCTCAGACAATACCAGAGA